AAAACCCAACTCTCATGCCATTAGAAAGAGGATCATGAAAAACCTATAAAAAGATGGTTCATGAAATTTTAGTTCACTCATAAAGCTAAAGTCCGCTTGCTCTAGCAAAAAATGCCCACTGTGAACCGATGGTCGGTTATTTCGGTTTCGGTTATAACCGATGGTCGGTTTTCGGTTAATAACCGAAACCGATGCATGCCTAAATAAGGGCACATAACCGCTCGAAACAAGTTCTTCTTTCACTCGCATAATGTATGTTTTATATAGAAGTTAAATCATAGGCAGTCAAAATGTGAGTCATTACACTTGTTCTTGTTCATTGACAATAGGAGCACATTTGTGCAATAGGAGCACATTTTTCCTTTCCTTCTACCATAACTCATGTGCAAAATTTGTTCTTTATTTTTATTCGTTCTGTGCAAAAAAAGAAAGACATAAAGATATGTCTATTCTTTTTTTCATAGCAGAAACTACGTGCATCTGCGATACAATACACTTGACTGAACAAGTTTATTGTTATTTTTCTATAGTCGAAACCTTCTATCCAACGATTTTCGTAGCTATTCATTTCTTCCTCTGTTAGTTATTTTGTTTTTTCGTTTCTCTGCAGTCGGAGTTTCAGCTCAGTAGGCACAATTAAGCGTGCACTCGAAGTTTTCTATTGAAATTGATTTTCTAAAGTTAGCGAAAGTTGATTTTTAGAAAAGCTTAGTGAGCTAGCAGTCTTATTGAAATTGATTTTCTAAAGGCAAACCCAGCGAACAACTTGTATATCACCAGGCTAATGGCTAAGTCGTTTGATTAGACCAAATTTATGTGCTATAACTAATTCATGCTTCAAATTCACATGTCTATTTTAGTTTCTTGTTTTATTATGTTAACATAATGAAATCCCCATTATGTGGTAAAACATTTGTTCTTGATATTAGTCATAATATACGATTCAAAGAAAAAAGTTTACTTATTAAATATCTACGCGAACAAAATGCTAATATATCGCACATTTTAACAGCTAGTGTAAGCATACAATGTAATTCTGGAAGTCTGTTTTTCAAACACAGTTTTATTTTCATTTAGACTGATTATGTATTGGTTAAGGATGATGTTGATACGTATAAAACTCGACGTGCTAAGCAGTTAGGAATAACATTACTAAATGTGGAATATATTTATGAATGTCAACGTAATTTAGACAAAATAGTCAATCCTGATCCGTATGTAATTACATCAGCTGAAGATAAAGAACATTTCAAAAGTGGCTTAATACCTGCTGAAAGTAAGAAAAAGAGTGAATATCATGTTTACTTACAGATAAGTGTAGAATGCTAACTCGTCTGTTAGGCGAGTTTCATAAAAAATATATTTTTCATATGTCATTCGTAACAAAACAATAGACCCGTTTTTCTGGAAAACCAGTTTTTCAGAACCATGCTTGTAGCCCGCACATTTCTGATTAAAACGAGACCTCTACCAACTCTACATGACCCTTCTTTGCAAAGTTATAGAATTTACAAGAAAAGCGCTAAATATTTATTGTCAGTTGTGGCTTTAAGTTCTATGCACAGGAATCAGAAGAAAATAATTTAGGGCTTTTCATGTAAATTCTATAACTTTGCAAAGAAAGGTCATGTAGTGTTGGTAGAGGTCCCATTTTAATCAGAAATGTGCGGGCTATAAGCACGGCTCATTAAGAAAAGCTTTTCAGAGTTTCTGAAAAACTGGTTTTCCAGAAAACCGGATCTTCTAAGCAATGTGACGAAACTGAGAATGCCATTAGAACCAGCATGACCTAAAACTCAAGCCTCAGAGGGTTTTAAAAAATGTTTTGTTGCGAATGAGATATGAAATAAATACTTTTCATGGAACTGGCCTATGCTCTTGGATAACCTAAATTACAGATTTGACTTGTTAGGTATAAGTTTTGCAATAAATATCAAGCTAGGACTGTAAAAGTCCCGTTGGGTTGATTTAACGCTAACTGAAAATATAGTTACCGTCAGTTGAACGATAACTGCGTTTCCAGTTACCGTTGAAATAACGGTCACTATCAGTTAGTTAACTTTGTGGTAACCATTTTTTAAGTATGGTAGAAATATCCGCGCAGCAGCTTAAAATGGCTTCCAAAATCGTTATTTCCACTAAAACTATTGAAACTTTCATAAATGACATGATTTTGATTGTCACACACGTGCCAGTCAACCAAACTAATCGAAATTATATAACTTCAATGTTTTGTAACTGCGGTTTTTAAGGTCTCTGAAGACCTCAGCCTCTACAGGCAGCCTGAGAAATATTTTTTGTTTTCATCAAGGAAATTAGACTACAAAACCATGTCATTTATGATAGTTTCAACAGTTTAAGTGGAAAACTAACGGTTTTGGAAGCTATTTTAAGCCACTGTGTGGATATTTCTGCCATACTTAAAAAATAGTTACCACAAAGTTAACTAGCTGGTTGTTGCCGTTGTTTCAACTGTAACTAGAAACGCAGTTATCGTTAAAGTAATGGTAACTCTTTTTCTAGTTACCGTTGTCGATAACGGCTAAAGAAGTAACAGGAACTTTTACAGTCCTATATCGAGCATTATTCTTCTATCATGCTAACAAAATCACGTAAGGATGAATCATAATGTCTGTTACTTTCTAAAACGTTTTGAGATTTTTTCATGGTTATTTCTGTTAGTTTTTTATATAAATCATAAATGAACTCCCCATTTTTCTAAGTGTCTCTCGCGACCGACCCGAGTGTCGTACCTCCGATATTAATTGAAAATTGAAGACCTAGAAAATGACAAGACAAACAAGAGATAGAAAATAGAGCTGCAAGCTTTTCTTGGAAAAATGAATCACGAGGAAGTTAACCTCTAGAAAATGACTTGAGTCAATTTTGACCCGACCCAGACCTGAACACGAAGCCTCCTGACTGGAACTCGCAAAAGCGATGACTGACTCACCCATCTCTGGGTGAAGATGACGATATTTGGTAAAAAACACTCAACGGTCGTTCGTTTGTTCTATTCGAGTGGTCGAAGTTTTAGGGATATCCTCAGGACTTTCTTCTCAAAATCGAACAAAATCCTTGACTACAGTTGATGAAAATATGAATGCGCGAAAGCTGAGTAAAATGGCGAAAGAATTAGTCCGATAGCTATCCGCGATTTTGAACACCGATCACTTTAGTGGAGAAAACCGGAACGTTTGGGCTCATATATTTCAAGAAGTCCCCGAAAATTGTTTCGATTTTATTTCAGAATAGATAGAGATCATCGAGTTCTACAAAATGGTTATAGCCGCGCTTTCGACAAACTAAGATACCGATTGCCTTTTTATGGTTTAATTTTTGGTTAAACCTTTTAATGGTTGATTTTTACCCTATTTTTCACTTTTACTATGACCTGATCTTTTCTTTTATCATCAATGTTCTCATTTTAGCTGATTTTAATCATAATAAGCTAAAAAGAAATCACTAAGGAAATTTTAGAATATATGTCGAAACAAGTACTTGGTGTTTAAAGATAATACTAAGCCGCAGCGAAGACACTAAATTATGTCGAATATTTTATATTATCTGATTCTCTTTTTCTTTATTTCACCAGTTGTTCACGTATATTGTTTCAAATTTCCGCAACACAAATTCCAGAAAAAGGTCTCTAAATATAAGGTGCCGCTAATTCAAAGTTTGAGCAGAATTTATTTTTCGTTTTTTTTATACATAGTTGAATAGAGCCTGACGAGCTGGCTAAGAATATATGCGTTTTAATTTTTTGGAACGATTTTTACCAGAAAAATTTTCAGTTTTACCAGGTACTCTATAATTCTTCTAAAAAGCCTCAATTTTCGAAAATCGCGAAAATTTCAATTTTATCATCTATTTTAAATTTCAAAACTATTGTTTTCGCATTTCTCATGGAAACTGAGTCTAGAAAACTCATTTCGAAATGAGTTTTCTAGACTCAGTTTCCATGAGAA